CAGATCACAGGAAGCAGTGAGGGACACTGGTGGAATCGGAGCAGAGGGTCTCTCTGGTTGGTCCCGACCTCTCACCCCGGCGGGTAAATGTCTCCTCTCACCTCAGCACTGCTGCTGACATCTAGGTCCTGCGCGCTGATCGTTTCCACTCGGCTCAGCTCTTAGTTACCCTGCCGCTAGCTCTTCCTCCCCACAATTCTCTTCAGCTTCAACTCTTGCTGCTCACGCTCTGAACGCTTCCCAGATCCACCTTCTGAGAAGCAGAATCCACTTCCTTTCTTATCTCTTCGCCCCAGGCCACGTCTCAAGTGGACTTGCCCCAGTGGGCTGCCCTTAGAGCAGCTGGGACCAGGCATGATACACGTAACTGTGGCTCTCTCTCTGGGGCAAGACACTTGTCTCTAGAAAGAACCATGAGCATGGCAAAGCTGCAACTGGCAGGTGTGTCAACTTTTCTTTGATTGCACAGACGCCTCCTGAGCACTTATCACAAGCCAGGCTCTGTTGGAGGCCTCGGGGACAGCACGAGGTCAGGGGCCCAGCCCAGCCTCTGCCATTCTTTCTCTGGCACACAGCCCTCTGGAGTCTGGCCGACTCTTCTCTCAGAGATAGGGAATGGGGGTGTCTGGAGAACACAGAATCCTGTGGTGGACCTCGCAGAGCCTTAAGAACTCACCTTGCACCTGTTGCTCATTGCAGATGAGGAAACTAATGCCCAGAGCAGTGGCGGAGCCCAGGCTGTGGTGCTGGGAGTGGCCTCCGTGTTCCTTTCAGGGAAGTGTCCATCAGGTTTCTCCCCCGACCTGGAGGCAGAAGGGCAGGCCCTGATCTCCTGATTCTGCAATTCTTCTGCCCTTACATCCTCTCCTCTCCTCCCACTCGCCCTCCTGGGGCCTCCCCAGACTGCACCTGGCCTCAGCTAACGTCGGCGGGCATGGTGGGGAGGGTGCTCGAGATCCAGGGGCCCTGGGGCCCCCGCTCACCACCTGAGTGGCCCAGAGCCAGCCCCCCAGCCCTAAGAAGCCAGACTGGCTGCTTCCCTGGGGGTTCAGACTCCTCCCATGTCTGCTCTGGGGGCCACTTCCATCACCACATGTTGATAACTGAGTTTTGAACTCTGAGGGAAGTTTGCCAGAACCGGACACCCCCTGCACTGATGCCTGTAAAAGATGCCTGCACTAGACCTGGGCTTCCCGCCCCTCAGGTCCCTTGGGATGTAAGCAGAAATGCTTAGGAGGAATCCAGTCCCTTCTTCTTAAGCCCCGAATCAAATTCCTCCCAGTTTGCTTTTGGTGCTTCCACTCCAAGTCGTCTTGTTTTTTGTGCTCAGCTCCCTAAAGCTGCCCCTCTCCTTACTCTGAGGCAGCAGTGTCCCTTGTCCCCCCAGCACCTCCCGTCCTCCTTACCATCCACTGTCAACAGGATGGACCAACAGGGGGAGATGGAGAAAGAAGGAGAAGAGGGATTTCCCTGACTGCCCCCCACGCCCCCCCCAACAGGCAGGCCCGGGTCTGGGTTCCTCGCCTGGACTGCAGAGCAGCATCACAGGAAACTCTTTCTAGAAACACACGAGCCGGGCCACCTCCCGGAGATTTTGGTCAGTAAGCCTGGGGAGAGCCCATGTTGAGCTTGCCTGGTCTAAGCGGTGGACCAGGGGAGAAAAGAGAAAGTTGTCCTCACACCCTCAGTCTCCAAATGGCAAAAAAAAAAAAAGGTGCAGAGAGAAATAACATCAGGGACCAGTTGCCTGTAGTTGTTACCAAACTATTGAAAAACAAGGAACAACAAAGAAAGAAAAGCAGTAGCAATTAAGTACATAATTGTACACACCACTTGTTAATTAAGCTTTTACTCCAAGAACCTGACAGAATCTGCTGATAAGGTGATAGCGTGAGGGAGGGTGGCATATGGCAAGCCATCTGCAATACGAACGCTTTTTCAATGGAAACTTCTCTGCCCCACGAAAAGGAGGAGATGCTAAGTGTAGTTTTCTGGAGCGGAGCGATTTATCTTCATTCTGTGCAGAAAATGAGTTGACGGCACTGAGCGGAGATGAAGGAAGCTCGGGAAGAGCCGAGGGCTCGTCTGCGAAGGCTGCGGCGCCCCACGTCCCGCCCTTGGGTGGCCCGTGGTGGGAGCGTTCTGGGGACCCCCTTGCTTGATTCTCTGTCCGAGAGCAGTTCCTTAAGGACACATGGTGCACAGAGGAGAGGCATAGCCGAGGGCTGTGATCAACACCTCTCTGAAGGCGCCCGCTCTGAGTGTGCAGGAAGTCAGACCTGCGGAAGGTCTTGAGAAGAGTGATTGATGGGGACATTGATCTTCCCCTGTTTCTCAACTGTCAACCCACTGCCTGCGATTCCATTAGGGCTTCTGGTCTCAAAGGTCCTTAACCTCTTCCCGCCTACTTCCTCAGCTGTAAAATGGAGATAAATTACCTACCTTGGCTGCCACCCAGGGTTGATGTAAGACCTGATAAGATGATGCTAAAAGTGTATTAAACAGTGTGAGGTTTACATATAAATGGAATAATTGTTATTCATAATGAGCCTTGAGGCCCATGAGCTCACACCTCCACTTTCAGTTAACCACAGGCCTTCATCAGGAGCCCCGCACACGCGGCAAGCCCAGAGCCGCGGGATCAGTCCCTGGTCCTCCAGGCAGTGCCTGCAGCTGCCAGCACTCTGAGGCCCTTCCCAGCTCTGCGGCTCCTGTTCTGAGAGACTGACGCAAGTGGCTCTGTGGAAACTGACGCCTGGCAGCAGGGGGCCCGCTAGGGCATGGGGCTCTCGGGGGTCACTGGGTGGCTGGCCTCCTGGACACAGCCTTGGTGGGGGCACAGCAGGGCTGGGGAGGTGGACCCAGGCACAGCCCTGCCAGACTCCTAGCCGCGTCTCCACCTCTCACTCTGCTCCTCTCCAACTCCTTCCTCCTCGGAATACGTCACCACCCCGGGGAAGAGGGGGCTGCCCTGGTCTCATGCTCACCCTTGGCCTCATCAATGGGATCACATAGTACAAAGCATGGCGACGTGTGTGTCTGGAAGCACCTCCCTTCTCCTGTGAACCCCTAGTTCAGAACTGCCTTCTACCTAGACTCAGGCCAGAACCCCAGCCTTTTGCCTCTGGACCTAAAAGTGGGGGATCGCCATCCCCTCCGCTGGGGGGCATCCATCGTACTCATCAATGACTTTTTCTCTCCACAAGCATTCTAAGAAATCCCTTGTTGGGCCATGGAGACTGGGCCGCCTTGCTCTTGGGCACCTCCCCTCCCACCCCTCGCTGCCTCTCTGCAGGGCCACCGCCCTGTGCTCCATGGCAGGCTCACTGTCCCCCTCCGGCAACTGCCTTACCCTTCTTCCAGTGGTTAATTCTTCCACACAGGCGGCCCCTGGGTGGCCCCTGCTCCTGTCACATGAGAAGGACTCTGCTCCTCGGAAGGTAGGGCCGCGGCTGGTGTCAGGGAGGGGAAAATCCTGCCCTCCACCCTTCTTGTGTTCTCATGGCTGGACTGGAAATAAAATTACACAAGACCAGCTTAACAGGAGGAAACCCCAATTTAATTATGTATGCACGGGAGAAGCACGAAAATGATTTTCAAGAGAGAACAAAGCCGGCAGTATATCTATCTTTTACACAAAGAAACAATAAATTTGTGAGGAATTGATAGGACAAAAAGCCTTAGGTTTGGGGTACAAACTTATCGAGGGGTTTAAACAGAGTCAGGTTTGAGACAGTAAATGAGCAGAGTCTGTTGATGCGGGTTCCGGGTCGGGAATCCCCAGCTCTGATCAGGACGCAGGGGGAGCACCCTTCTCTGGGAGATTCGTTTCTTGCTTTCAGAGAGAACAGAGACAGGAGGGTCAGAAGGCCCTTTCTGCTTCTCAACTAACTTTAATTCAAGGTCATCAATACACCATTGTGGGATAATTGGGGGGCCTGCCCTGGGCCCCAACACCTGTTATCATATGTGCTGCTGTTCGCCACAATTGAGCTGAACGGGCGATAGTCTCAGAGTATCCACATGGGCCTTTGCCATGGGCAGGGCACCTGGACATAGAGCATCCCATTGCTTCCTCCCACCAACCCTGGAGGGAGGCGCGGGGGAAGGAGGCAGCGGGGATGTGAGGGGGCCAGGAGTCCTGGGGTCCAGGCCAGGCCCCTCCCTTCTTTGAAGGGTGGATAACAGCATTCATCCCAGAAAAGAGGGGGTGAGCACCCTTCATACTCCACGCGTATCTCCGTGGATTTATGACTCTGCAGCTTATCAACAAAGGAAACAGGGCCCACACAATCCCCATCATCCCAGAGACAGATTCTTAGCTGGAAGGAATCGCTGAGATGATGGAGTCCACTCCCCCTCATTTTACAGATAAGGAGAATCAGGCCCTGCAGAAGGTCATGGAGGCAGTGGGAGCACTCCCTGCCTCGGGACCCAGCACAGGGCAGCAGTGCAGGGGTCTGGTGCAATGAGCACCAAGCAGATGGGGGAGGTGGCTTCAGTAAGGAGGTAGCAGGAGAGGATTTCTGGTCACCATTGGGAAGGTGGTTACCAGGACAGGACAAGAGGTCTCCAGGGATAGACAAATGGCTACTAAGGGCCAGAGATCCCTTTGGATATACTTTTTCTGACCAACTGGGGTGTCTGGGGAGAAAAAAGACGGAATTAGGGCTTGGTGTGGGGTGGGAGGTGGGAGAGGAGAAATGGAGGTCAGAGAGATGAACCAGAAGGGAAGCTGAGGTTCAGGCCCAGAGCCCGGATGGTGGTGCGTGGCCCTGAAGAGTCACTGCAGAGAGCCGTCCCGAGGCCCCACACCCCAGGCTCCGCTCTGGCTGGATAGCGTTTGCCAGCACAGCATCCGTCTCAGGTGTCTGTCCAGCTTCAGGATGGAGTTGAATCAGCACAGATCCTGGGCCGAAGCACCCAGGACATTCACACGAGGACCCCCGGGTGCCACAGAGCCTTCTCAGGGAGGGGCTCACGGGTGCCAGAACCTTGGCATCTCTTGGCTGAAGGCGTGGAGGAGAGGAGCACCCTTTTGCAGGCTTTAAAATGAGGACAGTGGTTGGAGAGATGAAGGAAAGTGATGTGGAGAGGGGTGGGGGCTCTTTCTGGGAGGGTACCCCCAAACAAAGAAGTAGGGGGTCGACAGGTGAGGGGCCCCTGCTACAGGCTTGGGACTGTCTCTCCCTTCCTACCTCACCCCTGCAGACAGTTTCAGATGCCCTCCACAGAGGAGGAGGTGCCTGACGGTCTGAGATGGCAGACAGCAGCATGGAATTTCCACAGGCCTGCCCAGCACTGCCACCCCATCCTGCATGCTGTTCTCCAGGGGACATCCAACCAGCCAGCCAAGCACCCCAGGAAGCTCAGACAGCTCATGAGAATCCCACATTAAGCAGACACCAGAAATGATTGGTGCTCACGCCTGCACCCACTACCACAGGTGCAGCTGGGGCCACCCTGCAGAGATGGCTCTCACTCAGAAGCTCCAGGGAGCCAGGCCTCTCTTCCTGGGGCCAGCACCCAAGCTGGAAGGAGGCTGTGAAGCCATTCTCTCTTTGGAGTACCTGCCAGTTGCTTTGGGCCACTCGCCAGGCCCTCAGCTACTCCCTCAGGGTCTTTGTCCTGTGCTGCCCCAGAGGTCCCCAAAGCCAGGCCTGATGGGGTGAGGAGCTCTGTCCCTGGCAAGGCCCCCTGGCTGTCCCACCACTGCCCCCTGCCCAGCCAACAGGGGAGGCCCAGGTAGGAGCTGAGGGCCTTGCCTCAGACTTCTGTCAAGCACCACCCACCCGGCCAGCCCTTCCCAGCTTCCTCTCACAGCTACTGCAGGGCGGCTTCTCTCAGGCCTGTTCCAGAAAAATGAAGCACACTTGCAGCCCTACTGCTCCCCCTAAGCCCCTTAAAGCCTGCAGGCCTGCAGACCTGCACGGGCCACAGCCTTCCCTCAGCTCTCTTCATCCGCTGTGCCCTCCACGAGTTGCTTGCTGCCCCCCGGCCCCCCCTGCCCCCCCCCACCATCTCCCCAGTGAAGCTGCACAGTATATGCTGGCATTCCAGCTGCAGTGCCATCCCGTTGCCCCCCTTTCATAGGATGAGGCCTTCACGTCCCCAGGAATTCCTGTTTGGCGCTCCCTCCTGCAGGCCCTCCTCATTTGCATTTGACTGTGATGGCAAATCTGGACGGGGAGGAGCAGGGAGGAGGGGATGGGGCAAGGTCAAAGGAAGTGGGGCTTAAACAATGCAGAAAGTCCTCAGGTAAAGCTGGAGATCAAAAGTGTTCTCCAGTGTAGCAAACATACCTGCCCGACCCCTGGATGCCGGGGATTAACGGCCTATGGGATGCAGAGTCAATCTCCAGAGATCTTGCTCAGGAATGATATGACTCGGTTGCCCTGGGTGTGGTGATGAAGTGGACAGCTCTACAGCATAAATACTTGTATTCTTTCTTTGTTACAAGGAACACAGTTTGAAAGACAGGCTTTCAGATTTCCCCGCTTTGTCTTGATGCACGAAGGGAAAATAATTTGGTGCCTACAAAAAGGTTCCTGGACCCAGTTCCAACGTGTGTGTGGAGGCTTCCCCACTCCAACAAGCAGTTCTCCGGCGCCTTGCCGGTGTCCGAGAATTCAACCCAATTCTGACACTATGGGCCAGCAGACAGAATCAGATTCCACAGGTAAAGGGCTCAGTCCCACAAGACCGCCCTCCATTTGTGACGCCAGTGGCTAACCCAGGTTGTTATCTGTGCTTCTGACCAGCTGGCTACAAATGGGAGGTTCCCATGACTCGCCTCTTGATTTTGATCCGTTTGCTAGAAAGGTTCACAGAACTCAAGAAAACCCGTTCACTCTCTTCACTAGATTACTGATTTATGACAAAGGACGTTAAAGGATAGGAATCTATAGCCAGATGAAGGGTCCCGAACAAAGGAGCTGTCCTCGTGGAGCTTGGGGCCCAGTGCAGGGGCACGTGAAGCGCTCTGGCTCTCCCACATGGAAGCTCTCTGGAGAAAAAGGGTGAAGAGCTGTCCTTTGGGAGTTTTGTGGAAGCTTCGTTACACAGTCATGTGTAATGACTCAGTCATTGGCCATTGGTAATTGATTCAACCTCGAGACCCCTTCCCCCTGGAGAATCAGAGTGGGGAACAGAAAGTTCTAATCCTCTGGTCCCAGGGCTGGTGCTCCTGGCAACCAGCCTCCACCGGCTTGGGTGGAGTCCAAAGTCACCTTCATTCACATAAGACGTTCATTTCACCTTTATGCCCCCTAAGCATTTTCAGGAATGAGGACAAAAGATGAAATATCATAACAAAAATGCTCCCATTGCTCTTACTGCTCAAGAAATTCCAAGGGTTTTGGGAGCTGTGAGCCACAAACTGTGGACGAAGATCAAGTATATCTGAGAAATATATGTGTTTGGTCATTGAGATGACCCAAATATATTTCTTATACATTGCAATATTGCAATGCCTTTGGTTGATCCCTTTAAACAATGTGCACGAAGACAACAGTCCTGTCGCCTTCTGTGCTCTCATTGCGTTTTATCTAATCTGGTCTCTTTGGGCATCTTCAGAGCAAATTCCCAGAAAGCGACGGAGGAAATCATCTCACCCACCCCCCGACCTCTGGTTAGACCCCAGCGCGCCCCCCCAACCATCCCAGACAGAGGACAAATCATCTTGTGCTCAAAGCTTCTCCACAATCGAGACTCATTTACCCCTAATCTTCCCTTCCCCTGCTGGTCAGCCTCCTCTCTGACTCCCCTTCCACACGGGCCTAGGCTTGGAGGGCAGGTCTCCAGCTGTCCGTTCATTCTTCTTTCTATCCCACAGTGCAGAACCACTAGGTACCCAGCATTCAACATATTAGCTCTGAGGAGAGAGGAGGTCGGGAATTCCCTAGCATCCCAACTGAATACAATTTCATTTCCTTAAGTGAAGGTGATGCTCCAATAAATCCCATAATGGGCTTAATCTTTTTTAAACCTTAGTGTGAGTGACTTCACAAAGGCTCCAAGTTTGATTTCTGCTTATAAATCTGTAGTGACTGAGAAAGGACACTGCCCTGTGCTCGTGTGAACGGAAAGGTGCTGCCAGGTCGTGGTCATGGGTAGGGCCAGCAGCTGTCCAGACAGCCCCCTTCCTGCCACCAGGAACTGAGGCCAGGCTACCAGCCTTAGAAAAAGGGAACCTAAATGGCTGGTGGCTCAGAAGGGATGGTTCATTGGCTGTAATCTCACAAGAGATCAGTTTCTAAAAACCACAAAGCCAATTATTTACTTACATTGAGAAATATAACTGTCATGGGGACCAGAGCCTCCTGTTCGATCCATCAGCACATTCTCCCCATAGATTTGTCAACACGGGAAGGTGACTCATAACCAGAAGTGTAAGTGAACATAAGGGAGGCCATCTTGTCACGCTAAATGACCCTTTTCTAGTTAAAACCCTTCTAGCATGTAATCATTATAAATTACTACACACTTTCATGATTTTCTGGCCCTGATCCTGTGCACATACCTCTGCTGCAGTACTCTGATATCTTTGTTCTTAACAATCTTAACAAATTTTCCCAAGGAACAAGAAGGCCACCAGGAAAAAGGAATACCTGTGGGATATTCATCATCGTGGACAGAAGGAAACAACAGTGAGGGGTCCTGGAGTCCATCATGCCTGAAGGCCAACATTTCCAAACCCCCTCCTTATTGCTCATTTTCCCTATATAACTGCCTCAAGATTTTGTAATTCTTTAAAATGGTTTTTTGGGACATTGGTCTGCCATCTTCCGATTATGCTGGCTAATCGGATATAAATGCTTCCTTTCTCTATCTCTAACTTGCTGTGATTAATTGGCTCAGATCGAGGTGAGCAGAGTGCGCCACTGCTCAGTAACAGAAGTTTGGGGTAGAAACAAGATCGGAGGGGGAGGCCCTTGCATTTGTGTAGTTCTTTACTGAGAAAATGTCATCAAACAAAACAGCCGTGGAGGGCTGTGGTGATCAGGCAGGGGGAGGCCAGTGGCCACAGTTCTTAGCTGCCCCATATCTGAACCCTCTTCTTATTCCTGGGGGACTCCCCATATTAAGCAGAAAGTCTGCCTATTGGCAAGGAGCAAATTTTCCTCTACCATTCTAGGTTCTTCTGGCTGGTCTAAGAATTAAATTGACATGAGACAGAAACACAGGAGAAAATCAACAAAATTTTAATAACATGTATACATAGGAGAGACCCAGGAAAACTAACTCACCAAAATGGCCAAAGCCCTCGCCTTAAATACCATCTTCAGCTAAAAACAAAATAGGATGTTAGAGGTGAGGAGAGTCAGTTATGGGAGGTTACCAGGAGAAGCACAGTAAACCAGGGCAAGGTTGTTATGCAGGTTTAAGTTGTTTCCTTCTCCATTGATAAGAGTTTCTAGAGATTTGGATTCATCCTTCTCTTCCTGGTACAGCAAGAGAGACACCCTTACAAATGGAGATTTCCCTTACAAATGTAAAAGTCTTTTCCAAAAGTTAACTTCTACTTGGTTTTCAGAGCTCCTCTTGGTACCCAACCTCTGAATCTCAAGTTCATGTGCCTGATGAACAGTCAGCTAAACACTGAGACATCAGAGCTTGGAGATGAAGAAAGGTTTATTCAAATTGGCCAAAGTGAGATGGTAGGAGCATGGGTTCACTCAAACTTGCCTTAACCAGAGCATAAAGCAGGGGGTCTCATAGAGCTCAGGGACTTGGCAAGAGGAGCTTTGGAGAAACAAAGGGGTCCCTCCCAATAAGCCCCTGGGCAATCTGCAACAGCTCCTGGGAGCTGGCCATCTAGTGATCCCAACCTCCCCGAAGGCATTCTCTTTCTTCTGCAAAACAAACTCACAAATCCTCGAGACCCCATCACCCCTCAAGTTAAACAAGGAGACAGCAGATAGATTGACAAGATTCATCTATGTCTGTGTTGGCAAAAAGATAAAAAGGCAACCATGTTCTTATCAAATATCAACAGTAACCTCAGGTACCCAGCTTCACTAGCATCTCTGCTGTTTCTTAAAAAATAACCAGCCTAGGGGCCGGCCCAGTGGCGCAGCGGTTAAGTTCGCACGTTCCGCTTCTCGGCGCCCCAGGGTTCACTGGTTCGGATCCCGGGTGCAGACATGGCACTGCTTGGCAGCCATGCTGTGGTAGGCGTCCCACGTATAAACTAGAGGAAGATG